TAAAGAAACAAGCCATAGCCATAGCCAAGTGTTTTTTCTTCCTGAACTAAGAGTGCTAGCTAACCCCTCTGCCTACTGTATTCTGCAAAGAGTTTGTACCTTTTTAATATTAAAATGAAATCAGGAAAACAGATGAGCTGCCGTTCAAGCTCAGTAACAAGTGAGGCAGTCTTAGGAGCAAGAGGAATTTTATGCATCCTAAACTCCCAACCTCGAGCTCCGTTTTGCTCACAGCGTGACTGTCACCAAACCTCAACGCACCAGAGCTTGACCATAAGTGTTATGTCAATACAGGAACATTGTTCTTGTTGATAGAGAAAGTGTTTCCTGCAAGCTGCCTGGACTTTGTCAAACAAATCACAGTAGGTACTGCAGGGGAGATTCACCAGGCTTAGATTCCACAGCAGTGATGGCTGCTTTCAATTCCAGCACTTGCTAATCTGGCCGTGTGAAGCCTCCGGAGCCCTTTTGTTTTTCCCAGCAACATGTCTGCCCTCCAGTCATATAGTCTGCTTACTGGCCAGCCAGCCAGCCACACTCTCCATCTACCTCCACTCTATCCTGATTCAACAGCGGTGAAAAGCTGATTAGTTGGTCAGAGGGTCAACCTCCATTCATTATTTAATGGGTGAGAGGCTGCAAACAGTCAGGCCGGCCGCCGAGGTTAGTGATACATTACACTGACCTGGCCAGAAGAGAGCTGCTTGGCCGAATACAAACATGCTCTCTCATCTACTTCACTATGCCTGAGCTGCCCTCAATCCCCCCTGCCCCTGACCTTGCCGCTCCCTCTCCAATCACCATCCTTCCTCCCTTCTCTGGCATTCAGAATCCGGCAGGTGAGACTGTGTTTCATTTCCCTGTAAGCTTGCACTGCAGGAGCAGGCCTGTAGCTATGGCTGCCCCAGGTAACGGAAGAGGAGGAAGAGGAAGAGGAGGTGGAGGAGGGGGAGGAGGAGGAGGCCATAGTTCTTTTTATTGACACGCAGCAAACAGCAGTGGCGGAACAAAGGCCACTCAGCACCTATTGAGAGAGCAGGGCTGCAGACAGGGTGGTTGATTAGTGATTCGACACGGGGACCCTGGACTGTGTAGCACATAATGAGAGCTTAGGGAGCAAACCATGAGCCGATGGGGGAAGGAGGTACAGTGGAGGCGGGACAGAAGAGGGGAGAGATGGGGTTCAACCATAAGGAATTGATTTCCCACAACAGCAGAGATGGATATATGAGTAAAAAGGCTCCATAGAAAAAAAAAACAAGGGTATGGCCAGATCCTAAATCCTTAAGCTACAACATTGGCAATGTGTTTATATATAAACAGTTAGAGGATAAGCCCTAAATCCACTGCCAAGCTAAATGGTTTATGCATCTTTTTTGTTTGTTTACTTCTATGTCAATTAAGCAAATTGGTCCGACATCCCTGACGAGCAAGGGATCTAAAGTGAGTGGATTTTACATTCATGTCCAAAAGCTTCTATCTCTCTGAACACCACAGTAACCCTGTCTTCACCTTTCATGTGGCCGCAGAGAGATGTTAGCAGAGTTAGCTGTGCACGATGGCATTCGTGTGTGTGTGTGTGTGTGTGTGTGTGTTTTCCCTTCTTCGTCTGCACGCTCTCTCCTTTCTTTGTTCCACTGGTCTAATCCAGTATGTGTGGGCCGGTAAGTTTAATGGAAACAATTTATTAAGTCCGGCTTAAAATGCCATCTGCAGCTAAGCCTCCCAAAGCCGCTAAGCTCCTGGTTTCGCCCCGGAGCTTGCTGTGTTCACGCTTACTGTAATGCTCTGTTTAAAATGAGCACAACGGGTCAAAATTAATCAGGATTACAAGGGCACAAATCCACTTCAGAAATGGGTTTTCTACCAATCTTTCTCCTGCTATCCTAAGATGCCCCAGGTTTGTTAGCTGGCACACCGCATGGGTTTACCCTCAACCCGCAGCAGGTAGCACCTAGCTTTAACAACAAGACCGCAGAGAGTACAGGGGGGCAGACTATATATATATATATATATGTATATGTAAATATATGTATGTATATAAATGAAGACTACTGCTCTAAAACACACAGATACAACATTCAACATAGTCACTGCAGATTCCAAAGTGTTCTTCTCAAATATTTCTAGCCGCTGACAGCTAGGTGATAACTCCCCACCACTTCCAGAGGCGCAGCATTGTGAAATGTCATAAGAAGGCTTACCAGTGAAGTGTTTATCTGTGCTCTTTGGAGGTGCCGTGTACATGCTCAGCAGCTACATTTAGCTTCTCATTCGCCTTCGAGCAAGTGACAACAGTAAACTCTGACCTGCAATTCAATAAGAGTAGCACTGAGTGGAGCACAAGTCTTCACAGCGCTTTTACTTAAACATGCCATCCTCCAGGAAATCGATAATTTGCAGGAGGTTTAAGACAGGAAATAAACAAAAACCAATAACTGTTAGATAATGCTTGCCCTTCGCTGTACCTTCCTACCTCATAACCACCAACACAGACAGACGTTCAGCAGAACTTAGCTAGCTCTTGGGTAACATCATCCAAAGAGAACTGCACTGTGTGTGCTGTGTTATTATAGATACTATTAGCTTGTGTTATTATCAGTACTGCTAGCTTGCATCTATAACAGGTTGTCGACAGACTCACAATGGAGAGATGATGAAAAATAAATATGAGAGAAAGAAGGCAAGGGTGTCTGGGTTTTGCCCAAAACCATGTTCTGTGTGCATAATTACAGCGCTCTGCCTTCGCTGATTACAATGTTGGTCTTTCTTCTCCTCTATTAACCCTGAACCATTTCATTAACATGACAGACTGTGGGCCTGTGTGCAATTTGGACTTAACCTCAACTGTTTGTACCCATAACTGTTCACCAAAATAAAGTTCAGAGCACCATGTTAAAAAGAAAAGAAACAAGACCCACTATCTGGACAATTGTGGAAGCCAAACATCATCACAGCATTATATATTTATGTGTGCCATACTGTTTGTGTGTGTGTGTGTGTGTGTGTGTGTGTGTATGTGTATGTGTGTGTGCATCTGTCTCCCAGCCAACAGCTCGAAAGGCCTGGTGATCAGAGGAAAGCAGGCTTTTCATTGATCCCAAAGGACCGTGAGCGAGACCGGTAATGGGACACATACGCTGCATTCTAAACCAGAGGAAAACAGCCTGTGGGCTGCTCTGTATTACACACACATTATACACACACAGAAAAACCAGTCTAGGCCAAAAACAAACACTGTCCTAGAATCCATTAGAGCTGAAAACAACAACATTGTAATGGGAGATGACAGCTGGCTGGTGGCATGTCTGAAATTGTAGCGTGATAACTTTTTCCTCATCGTCACCAAATTACTTCATCAAACTGCTGATTTCTTTGCTGCTTCACCCTTTCTAACCCCTTACTCTAATCTGGTACCCTTCTTCCACACTCCCCAAACAGGATCTGGTTGATCTGTGTGATAATCACAAGAGACTCTGATTGGATTGTCTGGATGTAATTCCAAGGTCCTAAGCCTCAGCCCTGTGTGCACATAAGCAAGATCCACAGAGGCCTTCATTCGCCAGCTGACATGAGTGGATGTGCCTGTACTATCAGTTCTCCATGGCAGAGTATGTTTATAGGCAGCCATGTTCTGTACGGGCACGCAGGGAAAATAAGTCAACACCCTGACAGCTGACAACAGCAGTAGTCCAGCAGCCTGGTGGAGAATAAATGGACTCCGACGAGGTCTAGTTGTTTTCTAAACCATGCAAGTCTGGAAGTCATTGTCATTGTGAACGCTGGTTTCATGAGGCCGACGCTGGTCACAGGTCATCTACATCACACAGCCGGCAGGCCTGGTTTCTCTCCTTGTTGTCAGCTATGCTTTTCCACTCAGCAGTCAAAACTACTGCACTAAACCAAGCAACACCTTCATATGTGGTTGAGAGGGAATCTAGCTTTCACAGCGGATGCTCTGACGTGAAGGTGAATTAAATAACAAAACCTCTTACTTGTGAAAAGGCAGGAGGTAGATTTACACTGATGCTACAGCAAACAAAGCAAAACAACAAGACAATGAACGTGATCTCTGTCACGCTAATATATAGTTACATAGTAAAATATGCTTATGTGACATACCAGGTTACACTAACATGACATTTTTATTGCTGATATATTTGTTCCGTCTCTCCTGCAGGACCCCCCCCCATCCAAAAAAAAAAAAAAACCCTCATATTTTACATTGTCCTGCACTTGCACCTCCTTCTCCCTCTGCTTATGTTAATAGCCCTCCTTCCTGGTTCCTGCCCTGGGGGGACGTGGTCTGCATGCTGCTGTCTGTCACTAGTAGGCTGATCGCACCTCTCCTCCCTTCCCTGCATCCGCAAATTGACACCTTACTCCCTGCTCTGACCTGGCAAGCATATTGCATTTAGTGAATATACAGACACAGCTGAACTTCTATGTCCATATGGTCCATCTGTGACGTGCCAAATACACATGTATGTGGTCGGACACCGAATGCATAAAATCACATGAAATCACACATGAACATACAAAGGCCTTATAATCCACATATGTGCATATGTGAATGCGCACACACACAGTTTGTGTTGTCTGGGGGGCTGACAAAGCTCTTTCTCTCTCTTTCCTTTGGCATCCATTATGTTCCAGGCCTGCTGTCAGAGAGCTTGTATTGCCTGAGGGGAAGTTCCCATTTGTGGGAGCATGTGGCAGAGAGGCTCTAAATCCCCTCTAATGAACCAATATGTAGGAGGGCTAAGCCTTTGGCGGGGTCGTCCAAGAAACGCCACTCGGCACCCAGGCAAAAATGTATGCATATGTAGTCACCAGACCTTGCTTATGTCTGCTGACATTTAAATCTGAATGGGAGCTACAGGATTAGAGCGGGCCAGATTTGGACTTACGCGCAAAACCCAGTTGTTGTTATGTGTATGAATGAGAGAGAGGAGGAAAGACTGAAGAGTGAATGGAGAGAAAACAGAGCAGGTTCTTACCTTTGGGTGTGGTAGGGGAAAAGAGCTTCTCCGATCCTACATCAGACACCTGGAAAAACAAGAAGGCAGGCCTTTAGTGGATTTGTCTGAATCAGTGGCAGACTTCAGATAATCCTATTTAAAAAAAACTGACTCATACAATTTAAGATTATTCATCAAACCTAATGCAAGCACTGACACATATTTAGCCTGCCTAGTAAAAGGCTTATTCAGTCACAAACATGACCATAAGTGCTCAGAGTTCAAGCCCAGCTCCCATACAAAGCATTGTAACAGTCAATCAAGATCCTCCAATCAGCCGACAAGAGGAGCTCCCTCTGTACCTGATGGTCCCTGTCTGGCTTTTTCCTGGTGAGGTAACATTAGGTGGCACTGTTGTGCCACCTGAAAACCCTCAAAAGAAATACTGTCAAAGTCAGAGGAAGTCGGTAAGGTGGCTTTGCAGCGTTAGGGCACAAAGGCTCCTGCATACATGCTGCTGCTCAGAAACCACATTTTGTTCTGCAATATTTTTGAATGGAAAAACTCATCTCATGAATAGAATGTGGTTCTACTCCAAAAGCAATACCTCTATTTCAGAATTTCATTCATATCAAAGACAATGTACTGGAAGTAAACAGATGATCTGTCAACAACACGAGTGTTTACTGAGTCAAAAACAGTCACTGATTTATTTGATGTGACTGACAGTGAGCGGTGGAAACCTGGTGGACTGCAGTCAGATGGAGGCTGAGTCAAATACTTGAGGAAGAAAGGCATCTGACTATGAAGTGATAGTGGAGACTTCTAGACTAAACACTGCAAGGTATTTTCCTCTCTCCTTTAGATGGATGTAGATTCTGGCAGGCACCACCTAAATCAAAACACACCATACATTTTTATAAAAATACACATTCACTGGCCAGACAGGACATTTTTAAACACTATGACCAAAAAGCAGTAAATCCACAAAAAAACTTGGCATTGTGCAAAACATCGTAGCACAAAGTCTGTGTGCTTGGAAGATAATATTAACAATGAAAATCCTCCTCAGCCTGTAATATCAGCCCATATAGGGTCTTTGTTTACAGCCAAGATTTCCCTTAGCTTTAGCTCCTCTCATCTGGGTTCCACAGACTTGTAAAAAGCTGCAAGAGCTGAACATATGTTCCACCCAAAGGGCCTTAGTGTCCTTAACTGCGATGTATTTTACGCGGCACAAAGGGAGCATATGTAAAGAATGAACAGTGAATCAGAGTGAGTGCAAGAGAGACAGAGACAGAAAGAGAAAGCAAATGATTTTGTAAACACAGATGGCTGTCCTTGGCATCCCTGTTAGTTCTTCACAAGTGTTTTGAGGACGTCCTCTTCCAAGACCTCCCAATTTCTCCTTCACTGCCACTGTGTTGCAGTTCTCCAAAGTGTTTGTCTGTCTGCGCTTGATGTCTTGTTTCAGCTCGAATCACAACAGTGCCCAAGCAACCTCTCAACAATCTGCTTTATTCTCTGCAGCCATGTAAAACACAGGTAGGAAATCTTACAAAGAGGATGTGCACAGATGAGTCTTTTAAAAACATGAATATCAACGTTGAAAATGATATATTATGTTATATATTAGCGTAAGTCAAACTCTAAAACAAGAATGAAAACAACCATGAATAATGGTGAAGCATTAACAAGTTAGTTCCTTAAAATCTTAACTGTAAGCTGTTAACTGTATTTTTAGCATCAGCTTGAGCGGTTGCAACTATGCAAGTTGTGAGATTATGCATGTGTGATTGTGAGACTGATAAACGACTACATTTATAAAAAGATTGGTCAACCAGTGTAGTTAGGGTAGTTCAAATGTAACAAAGAGTCAATAACACCTCTTCAGTTTTATCTCGATAAGAGAAGGGCAAACATTCAGCTAATAGAGATGTTTCCTGTTTCCTCGTACAGTAGGCGAGGGGAAAGACTATAGAGGAAAGACAGAGTGTTGTGCATTGCCCTCTTTCAGTCTCCCAGAACCAGGGCGCCAGGCTACAACACAGGCTCTTTGTTAGCTTTGGACGACATTAAACGCTCCAGTACCAAGCCTCAGCAGTGCAGCAGCACAACCTCAGCCTTGAATCACGGCCCCGGAGGCCCTTGAAGAAAAATATGGGCTCAGAATGAAATGAAGCTTGTCAAATGGACACGGGAGCTGGCTCAGGGACTCGCTTAGTGTGGCATGGGGTCACAAAAGCAAAAAAAGACAGGATAGGTCATGCTCATAACTCACTTTAACAGTTAAAACAATTGTTATAACCAAAGTGGTTATCCAGAGAGCAAGGCAGACATAACATGTTCCTGAGAAAGAGAACAGAAAATGCTGAGTTTACCATGTGTCGACCTAGATCTCCTTATTCCTTTTCTGGCCATTTTGAGTGTGCAGTGAGCTGTTTTATATTCCAAACATATTCCAAGTAACATCAACAACCGATATTTAGCCTTTAATGCGGTGTTTTGCACCTGCCAAGTCTGCATGAGTCAGTCGCATAATCCACAATTACAAGGCCAGTTTACAAAAGCACTTCTTAAAAAGGCATGTCAAAGCAGAGCCCTGATTTGGCTAGCTGTTGTTTTTGTAGAACTTTCTGGGTTTTGCTGGTGAAGTTGACATATTTTCATGGGGCTGTGCTGCTGGCAGTCTGAGCTGCCTGTGGTTGTGGTGTGCAGAGGTCATGTATAACAAATTCTTCACACTCTCTTTGTTGAGGCAACCCTGGGTGCCATTAAAAACAGACAGGGAAACACAAGACAGAGGGGAATATATATAGAGAGAGAAAGAGACAGACAAAGAAAAAAAGAGGAGCAAAGGCCACGTTTTCCAAAGGAAACAGGGAAATTTAACCATTTAAAAAAATAATGGGGGAAATTCAAGCCACATTGCCTGGGAGCCAAAAGCCCTTGGAGTGGGCCGCAGGAAGCCTGACCTTTGTGGGGGCCGTCTGCTATTTGAGCCTGGGGCTTCGGGAGCCTGGCCTCCTCTCTGGAGGGCCGTCAGCAGGCCTCAGCTTTCCTTCCCTATTCTATTCATTAGCCATGCTTTATGATTCAGCTTCCTCTGAGCCACACAAGAGCTCCCTGAGGAAAGAGACTGCTGGAGAGAGAGGGAGAAAAAAGGGAGTGAGACTAAGGGAGGGGGAAAAAAGCAAGAAGGAGGTCATAGGGCCCAGCCGGGGCCCAGCTCTCAGCAGCTGTGAAATCCTCCCGTTTCCTCGGCAGTCGTAAAAGGAACAAGGGGGAGAAAGAAAAAGAAGGCGGCCAGGGAGGGAGCTGGGCCAGTAAACCCACCATCTGAGTGCTAACTCCCTGAAGAGCCACATGCAGAACCATAATTCCCAGATTTAGGGAATGCCAAATTACAAATTACACTGCTGTTTGTTTTAAAAAGTCCCCAACTTCCCTGAACAGCAATGACTTATTGGCTGCATAAATCTCCAGATAATAGCTGAGCCGCAAAGGGAGAGCAGAGAGGCAGAAACCTTCGCTTGCAATAAGTTAGACATTTACTGTGAGGCGAAATGCATTTGCTGTCACAGCAAAGAAGCGAGAGGAAAAAAATCGCTGCAAATTTTCCATGTCCACATCGCTTTTACTTAACAACACAGCAAGCTAATTAATTTAGAAAATCAGAGACAAGCTTAATTGCATTTTTTTTAGTGTTAAAAAGCTTCCATGCTTAATTTTTGCACAATGGGCCGACTGAGCGAGACGATGCAGGCAGCAAGGGAGGGCGGCATAATAAACTGAATGACCTTCAGGCATAAATTTATGAAAGGCATTGATCAGTTAAGGCTGGTGATTTCAATGAGACAGGAAAGTCAGCAATTACCAAGATTCAGTTAACCTCATTTAGTAAAGACTGCTGAGAGACCAATTTCTTTCCCCACAATCCCCCACCCACCAAACCCCTTGCTTTATATCAAACGATCCCAGGGTCGTCTATCTACCTTTGATTTGAGAGCTATTGCATGTCCTGCATTCCTTGGAGCCCAGCAAATGATCTCCAAACAGGAGGAAATCTTGCAGACAGAGGTTGCAGATAAAGCCTTTCCCCTCCCAGGTAGACATATCATTTTTATACAGACTGGCAGTGCTATCACAACAGCTGTAGTGTGAAAAAAAAGAAATGTGTTTGTAGGCTTTATTGCGGGCTCATGTCTGCAAAGACTATTATTACAATTTATTTCTGAGTCAATTGGCACATGTTATGTTCTTGACAGACTGCTGCAGGACAAGTGGTAAGGCAGCTAATTTTAACACGTACATACCACAAACCAAATGTGAGACAGTGAGTTTTCAAAATGACACTTGCTTCATTTGAAAACGAAACTCCTGCAAAATGATTGACAGCTCAGTATCAAACCTAATTCAGTGGTACAAAACGACATACAAACAGGCAGGTGAAAAGTAACTTAACAACCCTCAGTGCAGATATAGATAGAATGTGTTGTCCTCCTGTGTAATCACTGGTAACGGAGAATATAGGAAACCAACACAACACATTACTGTGCATGCTTCCTTGACAGTGAAATGAGTGGGTTGAATGTCTTGGTGTAGAGGAAGACATAAGAACACACGGCTACTCTGTGCCTTATTGATATGATATGATATGATATGATACGGCACTGAAAGAGTTGTCAGGTAACATGAAAGAAAGAGACGCGTAAAAGAAAAAAAAATTAGAGTGAGAAAGAGAAGAAGGGACACGGGCAAGAGGGCACATATCCTGGCACAGGCGATCAGGCTCTCAATTACCCTGGGCTAACCTGTCTGTACCTGAATCCACACTCACACCTCCCACCTACACACACACACACACACACACACACACACACACACACACACACACACACACACACACACACACACACACACACACACACACACACACACACACAGAGTGTTAATCTGCTTCCCTACATGGTGTTTCATCACTGTCAACTTCCTCCTTCACTGCCCTCTCTTCCAATTTTGCAGTTACTGTCACAGGCTCGGTGTTACCTCTCTTTTCTGAGTTGCATCGATATATTTTTTCAAAAA